TGATGACACCCAAGCCCAAAACTCCGGGCAATCTGGGCAAGGGGGCACATATAGATGTTAAATAACATCGGGGACAGCACCGCCCCCTGAGGCACCCCGCACTCAAGAGGATGCCTCCAGGACTGCTGATCCCCTATCACCACCCTTTGTCCCCGACCTTGCAGGAACGAGGCAAACCATTGAAGTGCAAGCCCTTGAATCCCCACGTTGGCGAGGCGGTGGGCCAGCAGCTGATGGTCGACCGTATCGAACGTGGCCGACAGAGCTAACAACAGCAATGTCGCCACACCACCTCGGTCCAGATGCCTACGAAGGTCGTCAGTCAGGGCGACCAATGCCGTCTCCGTCCCATGACCCAGGCGAAAGCCAGACTGGAAGGGATCTAGGACCGAAGCATCCTCCAGAAAGCCCTGTAACTGTAACGCCACCGCCCTCTCTATACGTTTGCCCAAATAGGGCAAATTGGACATCGGCCGATAGTTGGCCAATTTGGTCGGGTCCAAAGATGGCTTTTTAAAGAGGGGGTGGACCATCGCCTCCTTGAGTGCTCCAGGGAACTGTCCCTTTGAGAGGGACGGTTGGCTTTAGGATTCTTTTGGCTTTAGGATTCTGAACCCCGAGTTTTAGAGAAGGAAGCAAGTTTGGCACTGTTAAATTAAATTATGGATTGTTCTAGGGTCATCCCTGCTGCAAAGTCAAAGGAGGCAGCTGGCTTGGATGCCAAGATTACAGGCCCCCTCCCCCAAGCTACACAAAGCCACTTGTCAGCTGGGGTGAGAACCCCTGAATTCCAGGGGACACCAGAGGATGCTATTTCTGATCTTCACTGAGCCAGCTGAGTGACATATTTATTTATTATTAACTGGAATTATATCCCACCCTCCTCGCAAGCAGGCTCAGGGTGTGTCACAACAGTTAAAATACAAACATTGTAGTAAATCCAAATACAAGTACAAATTCATACAAAGTTAAAATTCCTTAAAACAACAACAAATGGCAGAAAATTTCAATTTCCAGTATCCATGGGTGCCTTCGCTGCTGGGCATATGCTGACAAGAATAAGGACCCACTCAACAGATGCCATAGCAATCTCTAGAAAGGGCAGTTCACCCAGGCAGTATAGGCAAGGGAGGCCAAAGTATTTAGGCGTCCACCACCTCAACCGAAGGCCGGGCAGAACTGCTCCGTTTTACAGGCCCTGCGGAATTGCATTAGATCCTGCAGAGCCCTGATCTCCAGTGGGAGCATGTTCCACCAGGGTGGAGAATGCCCTAGCCCTGGTCAAGGCTAAGCAGATGTCTTTCTGGCTGGGAACTACCAGCAGATGTTGCTTGACAGAGGGCAAGGCTCTACGGGGCACATAGGGGAAGAGGTGGTCCCACAGATATGTCGATCCCAGGCCAATAAGGCTTTAAAGGCTAGTACCATAACCTTGAACCAGATCCAGTACTCAGTTGGCAGCCAGTGCAATTGGCGTAACACTGGCTGAATGCACGCCCGCACAGACGTTGCAGTCAGCAGGCATGCTGCCGCCGCATTTTACACTAGCTGTAGTTTCAGGGTCCGAATACAAAGGAAAAGAAATAAAGAAGCAACTGGCATTAAAAATTAAAATAAGAAAATAGCATTCTGCTTGTTATGCTGCTGAGTGTCCCATATTAAGTCATAAGATAAGGACCAACATTTTATTTTTCCCAAGGAAGATCAACATTTTAGTTTTCATTGGATTTTACCAATGACTAGAGACTATTATGGCAAGCCAGAAATGGCATAGTTTCTAATAGCAGCCTAGGACCAGGTTCAGATCTCCATCCCATCATACAACACAGGGTATCCTTTGGGTAACTGTCTCACAGCATAAACTACCTCACAAGTTTGTTGTAAGAATAAAACAGAGAAGGAAGAACCATGTAAGTTGTGCTGAGCTCCTTGGAAGAACAGCAGGGTACACATAAAATAAATAGTAATAATGAATAATATCTATTGAAAGTATACTGGGATAAAATGAGGGATGTCTGTGTGTGGGGGGGGTCTGTTCATCAGCATCATGAATGGGAAGCTGTGGTGAGCTTCAGCTGTTTTAAAAAGTTGTTGAGGGGAGGGAGGAAGTGCACGTGGGTTGTGCTTCCTCTTCCCACACTAACTTATAATATTTGAAACTAAGCCTGCATAGTGGGAGGTATGTGATGGAGAGGTAATGCTGCATTTCACAGCAGAGTGAGATGAAAGCTACTAATACTTTCTCCTCATCACACACCCCACCCCCAGTGTTTATAATATCTGAAGCCATTGTCAGTCTTCCAGCATGTTGAACAATGTGCGATTAAGATGCTTTCCCCACATATTGACCACATCACCAAGCAAGATGCATTGTAGAAAAGCATATACAGCACCTTATAAGAGAAGAAATCTTAAGCAGAATTATACCTTTTTAAGTCTGTTGAAGTCAATGGGTTTAGAAATGAGTAACTCAGACTTGGAATAGCTTTTAAATATCTAAAAGTTATTGAAAGCTTTTAGATATTGTGCAATGGTTTCGGTGTCAAAACTCTATCATTCCTGGTCCTTTTCTTCAGTGGTGTCTTTTAAAATTATAATTACATTATTTCAGTTATTATTTCTGTCAGCCTCACAGGAAGAGCCACTGACTCTGTCCCTACTAGGCTGGGGGTTACACATGGTAGGATTAGATCCCATTTTACAGATGGGGAATTTATAGAAACTGACTTACCAAAGTCATTATTGCTTCTTGCTGGGAGAAAAACTAGGTATAACTTGAAACCACCACTGTTTCAGTCTGTTCTGCGTTTAACACACAATGCAGGCTTGAACTGGATTTAACACAATAACTTTGAGGCATTTCCCCCTCTGTAAACCCTCTTTTATTTTAAATTTTTTAATCGTAACATTCCAGACTGAATAATTGTTCCAGAGAACTCAAAAGCTCTCACATTGGTGTGTGTCATTTGGTTGGTCCTAATAAAATGTATTAAAGTCCACCTAGTGACTGAGTGGTTGATCTGAGACTTTATCCAGATAATTTCAAGTGCAATTCCAGTCACATTGCCTCTGTCTTCTTTGTTATGGACTACATGTCAAGCCTTAATTTTGTGCCATTAGAAAACAAGGGGGGTTGGAGTGTAGCGAATTAATGGGGGGGGGGGGGGGGGGTTGTTTGAGCTGCTACAGAGGTAAAAGCCAGTCTGGCAGTAGTATACCTATATGAGGAGAATGGAAAAAGGGAAAACTTTATAAAGCAATTTCATATTGGATCAGAATAAGAGAATAGCATATGCAGCCCTCATGGAGACAGATGTCCAAAGGAAGAAAGAACTAGATCTGTTTACTTCTAGTCATTGTGAAGACCCTCAGGCCTCTGGACCTGACAAATTGGGTTGGATCGGAAATTCAGCAGCTTCACAGAAATTTCCTCAGTCCCAAGTAATCAGTGCTCAGCTGAGAGGGGAACACAAGGCAATGGGTTCTCAAAGCCCCAGCATGGACACACTCCCCCTAGTTCTGACATAGCCCCTGCACAATGTCCAGAAAGGGACTTCCCAAGCTTCCCTCCATCCCAGCTGTGGGGAGTGGCCTTGGCCCTTCCCTTGTAACCACATCCCCACACTCATTGCTAAGGCATCCCAACGGGATTAGCCAGGGAGCGTGGGCTGGCTTACAGTGAGGAGTACTTCCTGCTTCTTGGCTGAGTGCCTCACCAGGCATTTGCCCACGTCAAATACCTAGGGGTGATGACTAAAAGGCCCAGGCTCTTTGCCCATAGATAGCACATAGCAATATCTGCAAGCTCAGCCATAGCCATACCTTTGTATTTTCTTTTTTTCGGCAAGGCCCTATACTTTTGATTACTGTGTCACAGGCAGAAATTCAGCACATGATGAGTACTATATCTGCTTGTCAGAAAAGGTGTGAGAACCCTGCTTTCCCACACTGGGGCAATTTTGTGTCTGTAGAAGAAAAAGAAGAAGAGTTGGGTTTTGTACCCTACTTTTCTCTACTTTCAGAGCAGCTTACAGTCACCTTCCATTTCTCTTCCCACAACAGATACCCTGTGTGGTAGGGGGGCTGAGAGAGCTCTGAAAGAACTGTGACTGGCCCAAGGTCACCCAGCAAGCTTCACGGGGAGGAGTGGGGAATCAAACCCTGTTCTCCAGATTAGAGTCTGCTGCTCTTAACTACTATACCACACTGGCTGTAGGCTTGGGCTAGGTTCCTTCTTCAAATACTGACTTGGGAATGGGGAACGGTGGAAGACTAGCAAAATGCTAACATTCTGAGCAAGGAGGTTCTATTACTACTAGCCTGAGTCTTATGCTTCCAGCAACAGCTGCAGCAGTGGCCACCCTGTTAACAGTCATATAGCTGCCACAGCTGTCATTGTTATATATAGCCACCTGCCATTACATGATGTAGAGACAGTAATGATCAATAGATACAAGAAAAGCAGATTTTAGACACAGATTCTGTGTACTTCCTAGATACAGTATTCTGTACTAACAGGGTTGGTTCTGACAATACACCAGAGCATAACTTGAGCAAATACACTGTTCATACAAGCTGTGTACTGGTTGTTAGAAGTGTAATGTGTGGGGCTATCATACCAAGCAAGAAACCTGCATGCAATTCAGTAGTCTGCTTGGTGGTACAAAATAATGAAGGATTTTTAGTAGTTTGATCTTAGCTTGCTTTTTAAAAAAAATTAAAATAATGTATAAAATTTATTCCCAGAATGCACTTTTATGCATTTTATTAGCTAAGTTGTGTAATGTGCCCTGAGCAGTATAACAAGCCTAAATTTGTTGGTCTTAAAGGTGCTACTGGATTCAAACTTTGTTCAGAAAGCCTAAATTAAATAATTAAATGCCCACCACTGAGTGGAGGGTGCTGAGCTTTGTGCTTTCCATCTGTATGCTGATTTTCTTCCTTCCTTTCTTTTTC